GCAATGATGGTGCCAACTTGGGCCAGTGAAGCAACGTCCTCCACAACTAGACTGAAGAACAAAAGGACAGCAACTTGTCTGTTCCCCTTTCCCCGATTCCCCAGCACTGTTCCAATTCCCCCAATTCCCCAATAAAAATCTATAAAAAAATTGACTTCACTTATTCATTTTTATTGTATGTAAAATATTTACATAGTTCTCAAACCAAATATACAAGGCACAGTCATAGAAGTATGGCTACCATCTTTGTTTCTTTCAGCCTCTTGCCTCCCTATAAGTAATATTTTGTGTGTGGTTTATCATTTCAATATTTAGAAATATATAAGTATAGTCTTAAACCATGATACCATACTATTGGTACTTTTCTCACCTTACTTTTCTCATTAAAAAATAAATGCTAGAGATCAGTTTGTAATAGTACGTAGAAGTCTTCCTCATTTCTTCCTGTACTTGAATAGGACTCCCTCGTGTGGATGTACCATACTTGTGATTCATCCAGTGCCCTATTGATGGACATTTGGGGTGTTTCCAGTCTTTTGCTGTTCAAAGTAGTCTTTCCTCCGCGTACATCTTTTTCTTATTTTTGCTAGTACATCTTTGGCATAAATTCCTAGAAGGAGGAGTTGCTCTCTCAGTGAGCAAATATGCATGTATTTTATTTTGATATTGCCAAATTCTCCTCCATAGCGTTTACCACTGAGCATTTCCAACAGTAATGTATGAGTCACAGAGTATGTTGTCAAACTTTTGGATTTTTGTCAATCTGGTAGTTGAAAATAAGTTTCTTAACTTGAATTTCTCCTTGAAGTGAGGTTGTTTCTCACACAGACAAGAGCCAATTCTGTCCTCTTGACACAGTGCATCTCCATTAACACCCATAAAGCCCGGCCCACCCCTCACCCCCCACGCTCACACATCCCAATTTTTCTCCTATTTCTTGGGGTGCTGCTTTTTCATTTCCTTTTCTAGTTCCATTTCTGCTGTTTATTTCCTAAATATTCCTCTTTCTCTGAATTGTGTCTTAGCATTTCTTTTAAAATCCATGTCTTGGACTGTAATAATCATTGCTAGTCTGGCTGCTGCTAAGTGCATACCTGCAGCCTAGAGCTCTCCCTGTGCTTCAGTCCCACATATCAAACTGCCAATGAAGATTGTGAATAGTGCCTTCCAGTCACCTAAAATTCAACCTGTGCAGTGCTCTTCCCGCACGCGCCTTTCCCCTCGTGTTCTCCAGTGCAGTGAACGCTCCCACACATCTCCAGTTGCCACAGTCATTCAAATAATGTTTTTTCCTGATGACTTCCTCTCTCAAATGCTTCCTTGTATCGAATCAATGACCAATTTTTATGGCTTCCGCTTAAGTGGTTCCCAGATCCATCTACTTCTCTATCCCGCACTCCTGGTCTAAGCCATTCTCTTTCTTCCCCTGTAGTGACTGCACCTTCCTTCTAGGTGGTCTTTCCCTTGCTTGCTCCCAAACGCAGTCAGTATTACTTTTGAAAACACACATACTATAGGGCCGTTTACTAGCTTAAAAACCTCCAAATCTCAAAAAAAACCCCATCTCATTATAATTATTAGAATTGTTTGAATTCTTCAAGTATTATTTATATGTTTCAAAATAAATAAAATGGACCAGGAGAGAGCCTTAACTAGCTTTGAGGCAGATCGGGCTCACCAGCAGGCTGTACAGATTCCGGGGGCATTTGGAAGCGACTTGAGATTCCCTACAACTATCGCCGGGGAACAAAAACTGTCCTCCTTTGCCTGTGATTGCCTGAGAATGTCAGTCAAGGTGTTCTTACCTTTGTGGTCCACAGCTTGACGGTCCAGTCGAATGATGATGTGACAAACAGGTGTGAAAAGTCGATCGGGCCCACTGCCATGTGGCAGTTAATTCCTGTCACTGGCCCTTGGTGACCTTCGAAGACCTCACCGATACCGGCTTTGCTGCATGAAGACCACACATAAGCAGAGTTTCAGTGACCTTTGCAAAGCCGTGATCACTTTAAAAAAACAAACAAACTTGTCTCTGAATGATTACTTCTCCAAAATTTAGAATACCACTACACATGACCAGAAATGAAACCACTTTCATAGTTATCTTGAGAGAAATAAAATGCTAGACTATTTGGGGTAACTAAAAAACAATATGGGGTAATATAATCTTTTTAATCTTCAGAATTTAATATCAATTTCATCATTTAATCCTTTTTCAGGTGTTCCTCAAATTCTATCATCTTTCATGCAGTTAACTTTGATAGAAAATTATATACTCAGATCTCAGGAGCTTTTGTACATATAATAACACTATTCTATTGTTGTGATGACATTTTGTACATGTTCCATTTTAACTTCTTTTACAGAACCTATTGGCTATAAAGCTCTAAACATTCTTATATACATTCATTTATTCTTTCAAGGGAACTTCTTAAATTAGGTTGACATATTTGAAAATATAATACTTTGTGTAAACCCTTGCCACCATAAAATAATATGCATAATTTAAATGTAATATGGAGAAAATAATGTTTTCACTGAAAGCAAAAGACAAATTTACAAATCTACTAAACATAAATTTTATGAGCGCTGGTGCCTTGTTTCTTGTTGTCAAGTATTTAGCATATAGTAAGTGTTCAATAAATATTTGTTGAATAAAACAGCAAAGGAAAAGAGACAAACGTGCCTTTTTTCTAACAGAAGCATGTTTGAGAAATAGTGATACAAGTTTTAAAAGTTATCCACAGACATATGTTACGTATTTAATTGAGCTGGGATTATTTCCAGTCCCCACCCCTATCACACAATAGTCTGCATACCATCAGACCCAATTAGAAAACATAGCAAAATGCTATATGTAAAAAAACCCATATGCATGAGGTGATAAATATGACAAATACATAGGGATTGTGGAATCAAAATATTATGCCACTATGAGTAAAATTGAACTCAATTATTAAAACATTTGGGCTTCTGGAACACCAATAAATGTCAATGTGCTGAGCAAACTGAAATCACAAGCAAAGTTCTGCAGTGTGTATTCTGTATAACAGGCACTCAGAAATTATGCCCAGTGAAACTGCTACAGCAGTTCCACACGTGATCCTTTAAATTTGTTTTAATGAACACGAGGAACTGATCTTTGAAGCAGCCCCTGGTGAGATTCCAACTTGCTCTTAACAGCATCCTGAAAGAATTTATAGGGTGCAAAATGAGAACTTTGTTTAATTTATGGAAGTAGATTTGCACCTTCTCCATGTTAGGTGAAAAGTAGAAATCCCCTGCCTCTCCCCCATATCCCTATATGACCCATTAAAAATTACTACAAAGTCAAATGTTGGGTACTTCACAACTTTACTGAGACCTGTATTTTATATTTCAGATGGATGGACCAATATAAAAGCATAACAAAGAACGTTGTAAAAAGATTCATGACGTGTACCATAGATACCCTTCTTTTGAACTACAGTGCATATTCTGATGGTGCTTGAAAAGGACAATAGCCACAGGACAAGAATATTCATCATGTAAAAGGTTATTCACAATACAGAATAAATAAATCTGAAAGTTATCAATGAACATGTTCTGCAGCCTTCACAGATAATTAAGGTCCTGGATTAAGTCAATTGAACTTATGCTCTGTTGATTGTAACAAAGGTATAGATAAAGCTTTGACTCCACATTTGGCTCAATGCACTCCGTGCTCTCTCATGCCACTTGTGGCATTCTATCTATATCGCAGATATTTGTGTGTTTACTTTTCCCACCATTATTAGTTTCCTGAAGCTGGGAGCCAGGTCTCAATGATGTCTGCATGCCTGGCAGCATCTAGCAGTGCACTTTGTCAAAGTGGGTGTGCAGTGAATGTTTGCATGAATGAGCAACTTTATCAGATCTTTTCATGCTTTGATAAGACATTTAATGCATAGTTTTAGCCAGTTTTTATGAAGTAGGACCACTGGGCACGAAACTATGAGGCATATTTTCCTAGTCACCTTTAAATCATGTGATCAGGGAAAGTACTGCTTGTTCCTATGGATGGAACAGTAGGAATAGCACAGCTCATAGTGTGTGAAGGGAAAAACCACAGAGCTGGGCCATGGACGCTTACTGCTTCTACAAATCACAAAAACACAAGAGTGTGATCTTGCAACAATCTGTGGTTCCTCATTATATCTAAATAGCCTAGGATGAGTACAAGAGATGAAAAATCAATTTAATTAGAACTACTGAAGTGAAATAGAAATTAAGCACCAAGGTGAACACAGTGAACCTTTCAAAAGATGCGAGGCTGTTCGTTAAATCTTACATGCAATTTTACAATTTAATCCAAATTATTGGATTCTACTTTATCCTGATGGTTTTCCAGGGGGCATTTGCCAATCTCTCAATCAAGTCAGGTTTCTTATCACCTGGAAACTTCACAGTGGCTTGTGTATCTCATACTATTACAACCTCTCTGATGGGAGAAAGGGCCCTGGGCATTTTTCTATATTATTTGGATATTCTTTATTTCCCACATTGATTAGATTTTGAATTCCTCATTTATTATGTGCCAGGCACTGGAGAGGGAATCAATGATAAAATGGAAATAGTTTAGTAAGTAAAAAATGGTAGATAAATGAGTAGTTGAAATGTTACTGCTTGTAGAGAAGCATATATAAAAATATGTGAAATAGCAAACCTATCTGACAGCCTTCGTCCTAACCCATTTATTGTGCTTTAATTTTCTCCATGGTATGTATCATCATAAACCATATCTTCACTTGTATATTAGTTTGCTGTCTTTCACCCTCAACCAGAATATCAACTCCAGGTCTATTTTGGTCCTGCTATACCCTTATGATGTGATAGTGCCTGGCACATGATATGTTTTAGTAAATATCCTTTGGAAGAAGGAATGAATAAAGGAATGAAAATTCTATGGAAACCTAAAGGAGGGAATGGTTTTCTTTGCCCAACAGAGACTGGGGAGGCTTCAATGTGGAATGGGCTCTGTGCTGGCTTTTGGAAGATGAGGAATTAACCAGGTCAAGAAGAGAGACATGCCAGACCAGGCGGGAGAAATCGAGTGTACAAACTCATGGTGGGATAAACAATATTTGGGGACTGCTATCCCTGCTAGGTGTGTGGCTGGAGGCTGCAGGAAGGCTGAGGCTAGAAAGAGGCAGAGAGTCCAAGGGTCTTATACGATATGCTAAGAACCTGGGACTTTTTTACTCAAGGCAGTGTGAACCCTTAAAGGGCTACAAATTGGCTAATGACCAGAGCACATGGATGCTATAAGATAATGAAGCCTTGAGGTGGTGCTTTGCAATTCTTCGGAAATGCTTTTCTCATAATGCAAGGTGGTTATAATCCAGAATGCGATAACAGACTTTCCAAAATGGGGAAAACGTCATCGGTAAGAAAACAGAAAATCACCTTCCATGACGACAGGCCGTATAGACTGTGCCCTCCTCACTGCCAACCACGAAGTTATTGACGTCTCCCGTCGGGAAAGCCATTCCGGTAACAGCCACGGGCTTGGACTTATTGTACACCAGCTCCATGCTCTCCTACCAAAACACGGGTGGTTACATTCCCTCTGTCAACTCCTTGCCATGCCAAAGATAGCACGGAAAAATCATTTGGCTAAATCGTCTGTTTGCTTTTCACACAGCGTTACAAAAGACCCCGGCTGTGCCAGAAACCACGCTTTACTGCCCCTGACATTCGTGCTTCTGTGTATCTGTGGTTTCAAGCCGGCTGGATTTCATCAGCCTGTGCTGCCGCGTCTTAAGTCAGGCAGAGATGACAGGTGAGAATTTTGAAACTAATGGTGCAGAAACTAAAGATAATACTGTAATGGTTACACTTGTCAGCCCCAGGCTTTAATAAAACACACAATACCCTTGTATTTACAAACATTTTCAAAATCAATTGTTCATGAGAACACACATGTATTAATATCAGATGTACTAAGCACATTTGTCAAAGCAGGAGTGTATGTCCTCCATGAACTAAAACCAAAAAGTTGTCACTCAGGTCATAAAACGCAGATTTCAACAGAGACTAGATTTCACCAAGGGCAGCCGCACGCTGTATACGCCTGCAAAGAACGGTGTTTAAATAAATCTTTAAAATAGTAAACGAGAGCCTTTATTTTACCTAAAATGATTTTCAAAATCAGGAATTAAAGTGCATTGTAAAGAACAGCCTGCTGAATTAAATTTAATGACAGTGAAGAGTAATTAAGTATAACAGGCGTCCCTGAATATTTTTGGCTATTTACATTAAATAGCCTACTTTGCGCACCTGAAATAATTAAAAAAAAATCATTCCAGGGGATCATGTCACTATAGTTGCTTGAGAATTTAGTCTTTTTTGTGCAAAACAAATCGGGTCATCCCAGCCAAGGAGCCAAGGAGTCCATAAATCAGAAGCGCATGCTCAGAGTCTGGGTAGCACAGTCCCCGTGGTCATGAGACATGCTTGCACTACGTGAGATCCACACAGAGTGAACGCATCAGTGAGGGAACGTTAGGACAATATAATACAGAAAAGTGGACTATCCAAGAATTTGCTCCATGGATAAAAATTAGCAGTGGGAAGGCACTGTCTCTTGGTCACCCACTTGGGACAGAGAGGGCAGGGCAACTATTGAGTGCTCCCACATCTGCCTGCCATCCAAAGTCATGCCATGAAACCCTCAATCTGTGTATACAAACAGCAGTCTGCAGGCATGCTAAAACTAATAAAAATGGTCTCGTATCCCTTGTATGGCTTATTTTAACCTAAACAAATACACATTTAATCAGCAAAATGGGGAATTCAAAATTCTTAATTAGAGGGTTCACTCTGTTATCTGTAATCTTCATGCTTTTGAAAGAAAACACCATATTGCTGAGAATTTTAAGACAGAGCCATAAAACACTCACACACAACTCCTGACTTGTATAATGTTAAAAATCAGCAAAAATAGAGGAACTTACATTGTAAGGAGCTTAGTAGCTCTCTCTTCTCCCCCCACTACAATTATAAAAAGAACTTATTTAGTCTTAGCATTATCTACATCTGTATATTGTGGAGACTTATAGGAGATGCCTTACATCTCCACATTTTCTTATTTATCTTGTTTCCACATTTCTTTATGTATCTTGAAACTTCAATGTCTTCTAAAATTGTGAGAGAAACATTCTTGGGTCATTATTCCAGGAAAGGGAATAGGAATGTTAAAACAGAAAGTTGTCTCCTAGATAACTTTAACAATTTTCTTGATATTTCCTCACATTTTTGTCAAAGGCTATATAGCAACAAGCTCTTCTGTGTTTTCAGTGGAAGACAGTGAAGTACTTTTCCCCCCACAAAGAAATGTGGACATCGTGTGTACACATGTGTGTTTGTGTGTGTAGGTATGTGTCTTCCTGTGTGTATGTTATTCTAAGGCTTCCTCCCAATGGTCTCTTGCACTTCTGCCCCTTTGTTTGGTTCTCATTACTGCAATCACTACTGGCTTGGAAACTTTGGAGCGTTTTCATTTTTCACTTCTCATCTGTTGAGCAAGGAATGGCAGAAGCCACACCAACAAACATTCCAGAGGAGAAAACAGATGGTTCGGCAATTTCCTCATACACACAGGCAGTCGTCTGGGCTACGGACACAAGCAAGGGCTTGGGTTTCTGTTTTGCTAAGATACCTCTTCTCCAAGGCAAGTCCCCATCAGGGATGGCTCTGTGGCGCTCCTCGTTTGTATCTGTTTAACAATGCTGGAGGGCAAGTACAATTCATACCACAGGCAACTTCCATAATTACTATGCTTTAAGATGGATTATTTCATTTTCACTTGAAACTGACCTAAGGATTAACGTATTACAGTAATTACATGATTTGTGGTAAAGGAAATGGGTTTTGGCTTCAAGAGGAGACTGCTGAAAGCAAGCCCCACTCTTTCAAGTGCATCCATTGGTTTTAGCTCCTATAGGATGTGAGCGTTTGGCTTTTAGGAACTATATTCCATTAGGCAGGTATCGCTTTTAACCAGGATGCTCTTCTGTGTAGGGGAAAACAAACCCACCTGTGGAGTTGAGAGCATGTCCAGGCTCCAGGAACACATTTTACCATCAGTAGAGACAGTGATGAGGTTATGGGCATTCTGGGTCCCAACAACATTTACACAGTATACGGGATGCTGCAAAAACATAAACATGGAGGATCAGACACTGATCCAAGAGGAAATACTTACATTTGAGTGTTAAACACATTCCTCCAAAACAAGGATTAAAGAGTGACATAATCCTACACTAATACAAGCCTAGGGTCATTTGCCACTTTTGATTTGAACCTGATTTCTTTCTAAAAGCTCTGGCAGCAACACATAGCAGTGGAAGTACAAAGCCTCACCTCGCTCCGTCAGATGCTGTGCAGTGGAGCTGAAGGAAGCGAGCGCAAATGAGGACTGGTGAGCAGAAGCCGTGCAGGGAGATGAATCTGGATGATTTGAATGAGTCTCCACTGCCTAGTTTGGCTTATAAACTCACCATGAGTGATGGAAAAAGCCAGTCTTCAAAAGGGTAGAACTATTGACTTTTGGAAGGAATACATGTTACTAAATCTGGACTTTAAGGCATTATGGTCACATTGCCAAACATTTGTTAACATTCTTTATAAAACGTGGTTAATATTCATCAGCCTCTTTAATTTGAGGGAGAGATGTTGGTGGTGGAAATTATTGGCACAATGCACCTAGTGAGATAAAATTAGGTTCTTTTATGTTACTGCAAAATCTAGGATAATGATAGATTTATTTTTTAAAATATCATTTGGGGTAGTATGGAGGCTTAGACTTGGCTAGGGCCTTGAGAAAGGTCATTTATACATCCCAGGAATTGTAAGCAAGATGCTCTTTCTATCATAACTCTAGGAGGTTATCCCGCTCTGTACAATCCTAAATGGTAGGCTAAAATCATTTGCAGCTGCACATTAAATACTAAGTGGAAGGTTAGCATAAGCAGAACCTAGCAGTAATTTGGGTTAGATTTCAGGCAGCTTAGCCATCAGTGGCCAAACCACAACTTAGCTGATGCTTCTCTGTGCAAATAGCTTACAGTCTAAGTCTTAGTCTTGATGAGTTACTGTCCATAATACCTAGCCACAATGACAATGAAACAATCTTTAATATTGGAAAGTTGATATTATATAAAGGATGGTTCCCAAACTATTATTATCATATAAACTCCTGGTCAGAAAGAACCATAATAATCATCTAGGGCAGCTGTTCATGTGCCTCTACCAAGAGGTGGTCCAAACTCTGATTATCAAACACCTTTCTTAAGGGTAGCCAGTTTTAGCACTAATTCCCGGGGCATTCTTCCTTCCACCAATGGGGATAAAGAAAGCTCAAGGAGGTACTTGCTGTGCGGTGCCCTCTGGGATCATACAGATCAAGTCAAAACAATATTTAGGCTGTTGTTGTATTACCCCTCCTCCCCCCATCCCCTGTCTTGTCTTCCTCAGACTAATCATCGCCAATTCCTTCAACTGTTCCTTCAATATCTGGTTTTCAATACCTTCCCCATCCTGTTCACTCTCTTTTGAACATGCTACATTTTTGTCTGAGTTCCTCTTAACACTGAAGTTCTAAGAATAAAACATAACTATATCTACCTATATTCTTTTTAAAGTTTTATTTATTTATTTCAAATTTATTTTTTTTCCAATTATGGTTGACATTCAATATTATTTTATATTAGTTTCAGGCGTGCAGCATAGTGGTTGGACATTTATATAATTTTTGCAGTGGTCCCCCCGATTAGTCTAGCACCCACCTGGCACTATACATAGTTGTTGCAACATGTTTGTTCCTTTATTTTGTTATTTAGATTCCACATGCAAGTGAGATCATATGATATTTGCTTTTGCAGTCTGACTTATTACACTTACATAATACTATCTAGGTTCACCCATGTTGTTGAAAATGGTAAGATTTCATTCTTTTTTATGGCCAAGCAATATCCCATTGTGTATATGTACCACATCTTCTTTATCCAACTGTCTATTGATGGGCTGCTTCCATATCTTGGCTATTGTAAATCTATCTATCTATATTCTGACCACGAGGTTCTAGAAACCCAAGGAGTGTAGAATTGTCATGAGATTAAAATATTCCTGTGTTAATGCACCCTAAAATTACATTTGCTTTTTTGACACTCGCATCACCTCTTTTACCCATGCTGATGGACAGTCAACTAAGTCTTTATGTCTTTTTCACCATGTTCCTACAGAAACTTTTAAATGAATTGGCTTTAGTGGATCTGGACATTCAGAGATCTGAAACTAAATGTTATCCTGATTGGGTCTCTGAATAGTAAGAGGACTAACTGGTGGTGGGACTGTGGACAATGCTTTTTCCCCAGTCTCTGGGGTATGTGGGACCTGTAGCAGTGTGCAAACTCAAGCATTCAAAGCTCTGCATTAAAATCAAGTGGAAAAATGGATGAAACAAATTCTCATGTAAAAACAGCAGACTCAGTAAAACTGAAGAATGGGAAAGTAAGGTCCAAACGTTGTTATGGACATGAAGTCTACCCAGTATTTTCCAGCAAGAGTCCAGTGGAGTTTCTTTGTTAACCACTGACACAAATCACCAAGACTTGAATGGACTGGGACTCCTATGGGTGAGTATAGTAGGGAAAGAGGGCATCTAGAAGAATGCAAAGAGCCAAATGCCTAGAGAAGGAATGTGTGTGGTAGCCCTTCCCTGGCTTTAATCAGTACTACTGGCCTGTGCTTTCATGAGTAATAAAACTCAGTTGAAAAGAAAAGAGAGAGATGTAAAGAAACCAGAACAGAAGCGGACACGTGGGCATGCCTATTCATACACAGACACAAACATACACAACTCTACTTAATGGAAAGAAAAAAGCGACAGTACAGCTCATTTTTCCAGGGTAGATGCCAGATTGTTTTTATTTATTCTAGGGATAAACTTACTGTGTGGCAGAAGGGTTTTGCTTTAATTAGAATTTCCTGTTGTCCCAAATGCATATGTGTGGTGGGTGTGAAAGGAAATTAGTTAGTAATCTGTGGTGGGCCTCTTTTCCCTTAACCACTTTTGATCCTGGTACCAATCAACCGGGCATTAGTGAGTTGAAAGAGAGTCACAAATTGGACCGTGCTCTATTTTAGCTATGGATTCAACAAAACCCAGCAAGAGGGAAAAAAAAAAGTTTTTTCTTTCTAACAGAAATAATGTCACTCTGTGTGATAATCATCATATTTTAGTGTGAGGATCACAGCCTAAATTATTTGAAAAAGAAAGATGAACTCTTTGGAAGAGCCTATGGGTTTCAATTCTCCCCCCAAAACTTCTTGCTAAATAGTCTAACGTTTGGATTTATACTTTTTTGAGATTTCAGAAGGTATGCTCACAAACACGCCAGATACATCCACGGAGCCAAGAAGCGGTTTCACACTGCTTCAGCCAACACCTGCGCCAAGCCCACCTTCTCCTGGGTCACAATTTTCTGTTATTAGTTTGGAGAAATGGGGGCGGCATGAGCAATTTCCCCAGATTCCCACAAACTAGTTTTACCTGCATGTGTCATAGGCCCAAGTCAATCAGAATTAAGGCTGACTTGGTATTTGTCATTTCCCATTGTCAATCTTACCAGAGTGGAAGCATTTTCCTCTTCATGGTCTAGCTAAAACAGCTAGCAGCCCTTTTTTAAAGCTAGCGTGGTTTCCAGGCCAGCAGATGAAACAAAGGAGGCAACTACATTAAGGAAATTGAAACAATAGTAGAGCTGTTTCCTTGGGCATAATTTGGGCATTTCAGAGAATGAACATCAGTTACCCTGAATGTCAAGGTAGCAAGGATTGATGGAGGCATGCCTGTCTTCTCATTCCTCCTCACAATTGCTAAACACACCTGTCATTCTCTTAAAGGAAATGACAGAGTCGTTGTCTTCCAAACACTATACTGAACCTCTTCTGCTAAATTATGGGTAATGGTTTTGAGATGTTGACTTTTAACCTTAGGGATTATATTGTCACTGTAGACTTTACCACTGAGACTTACACCATGCATTCCAGAATTTAAAGTCATAGCAACTCTCTCTAATCACAACTGAAAAAGGCCTGTTGGCAAAAGTCTCATGTACCATCCCGAGACATGAAATGCTTACCCTTCATGGTCTGTTTGAAAATGTTTCCACCTTATAATGTAAATGTGAAGGGTTTCTTTCGGAAACCAATCTCACAGGTACCTCTTCCAAAGTTTCTCCCTGTATCAATTTTTAGTTTTAATCCATCATCACTGGTGGCCTTTGAGACCTCCAAAGAGAGCCTTCATATGTGCTAAAATTTGTAGAATATTAAGAGATTTCTCTAAACCCAGCACTTCTTCCACCTACTTTTCACTCAGTCAGGATACAATTGCTCTAAATTAGATACTTCCAACCTGGAGTTACTGACAGCATTGTCCTTTTGTCAGTGATCCCTTCTTTCAGGGCTTGGATGGCTGACAGGGATGTGACAAATGCTTTACTTACTGTGTGTGCAGCGGCTGACAAGGGCGTCCGCTGCACCGGCGTCCTTCGATGACTGCGATTATCCCACAGGACAATCTGGCCTGAGTAAGTCCCACCAACCACCAAGTTGGGATGGAAACGCGCAAAGCAGACTGACATCACAGAGGACTGCGAAGAAAAAGGGGAGAGAGGCGCGCTGTTCAATGCTTGGAGAAGGTTTGTATTTTCCTGAAGAGAAAACAGTTCATCACATAAACTCAACATGCCCTGGAAAATATAAAGCAATTGTTCGGTACATACTTTGTACAGACACAGACGTTCCCTTGAGAGGGTGGCCAACGGTTACCCCTTGAAACTTGAAATGTGAAGTCCTGGTCATGTCATCAAGTAGGTATAAAACCTATCTGATGTTCATCATTGTTTTACGGTCTGGAAAGTTTGGTTTATGGACAGTTCCCGTTTCCCAATAAAATGGTATCAGAGCTAATGTTAATTCTCCACTGAAGTCTTTACAAAACAATTGATTGGAGGCCATGGCCACATCAAGTTATACTATGCACAGTGCTGGCAAGGCTTTGAAAACTGTGAGATGGGGTGCTTTTTTGTTTTGTTTTGTTGGCTTTATGTAGACTTCTAGGAAGTGTACTGATCTCAGACTGATCCAACTGGTTCCTCCTCAAATTCCCTTGCCTCCCAAGAGCATTCTTCTGACCTTTATCCTGCCCACTTCAGACAATTCTTAATGTTATTCTTTGCCTATTTTAACAAACAGTCAGAAACGGATTTCAGTCCAACTCTGCCATGGCCTGTCATAGCATCATAAATGTGGTTTCTGAGATTCCACAAAAGACTACTGGGCACTACATGTTATGGGAAATTACTTAGCTGAGACAGAACCATGATATACTTACAATCAGATAAGTTGGCTGTTCCACATCTGCTAAGAAGTCCATTTTGATTTCTGTAGTGCTTTCCATGTTTGTGTTTATATGCAGAAGTAAATGTTTTCAATAACTACATTTCATCTCTTTATTTAAATTTAGTAAATGATCTTATGTATAGGTAAGGCATAGTACCAGGCATGACAGGAATACAAAGGTAGTCCCTGCCCTCAATAAACTTGTGCCCTGGAAAAAGAAACTAAAAGGCACGCAGGCAGATGAATAGAGCTGCTGTAGTCCATATACGCTAGTCCATGCTTCTGTATGAAATACAAAAAGGTGCCTCTCTACATAGGCATAGTCACGTGGGTGGGTGTAAGCCTTGGCAAGAGGAGGGTCATTTTTGTCTCACTCGTCCCTGGGGCTTGACATCCTGCAAGTGTGCAGGGCACAACTTGTGCACACAAGTAGCAGCCTCGAATGTGGTACTGTGCTGTGACTAAAACATAAGAGCACGTTTGTGTATGTATGTGTGTGTGTGTGTGTCTTGTGTGTGTGATGGGGGAAGATTTGCTTTAACGAATAAGGGTGAGAAAAGAGGAGAGTGGAAAGGGTGGAATGGTTAGAGAGACCCCATGAAAGGAATGTATCACCCGTTGGAGTATATATAGAACATTTAGCAAGTGGAGAGCGGAAGAGGCTGGCATTCCTGAGAGATGGGTAACAGGAAGAAGAAGCTGGAGGCACCAAAAACAGAGGCTGGTGAATAGCCCACAAACTGGTTTGGCTGGAAAAGAGCCTTCATGGAAGAGGCAGGTAGGAGGACATGTGGCTGAAGAGGTCGCCTGGCAGGCACTGTTTGGATGTTTTCCTGTGGGCAACAGTGAGAAATCGCAGCTTTCTGAGCAGTAAAGTGAGACGATCAACGGTTGTAATTGATAAGCCAGAAAAGTAGTGATTGAAAAAAAAAAGTATGACCCTTTCTGAGTGGGAAGCAAAACATCCATTTCTAAAAAAAGTCAGACCTACTATCAGCTTCAGGCTTTCTAGTCAGAAACAGTCTCAGATACTCTGAGGTAGAATAAAGAATGTGGACTATTTTTCAGTGTCATGTTTTCCTAGTTTGAATGATTTTCAGTTCCAATTCCTTGAACACAATTCAATGGAGAACATGCAAGTGCCCCAATCTGGTTCTCATAAAGTTCAAGAATAACTCTCAATAATGATACTGAATTAAAGAAAAAGAAAATAATGCCGGTCAGCTTCTTGTTTTACACATCCCACAGAAACGATGCTTAGTTTTCAATTGATGAAATTCTTATGTTGTTTGAGCTATGTTTGAAACATTTTTGTTAAAGCTCAGAAACACTTAAAATTATCCAGGTGGTATCAACAGTTGAATTTACCAAAGCTCCAATCAATATGGATAAAGGAATGTCATTAACTTAGAAAAATCCAGAATTCAACCACTTGATTGCTTTCGTGTTTCAGTTAAATCCCAGCAAATGTTGCTCCAAACCTTGCAGTTTGTTGAGAGACTAGAGAAAAATAAACAGTGGGGGTATTGCTACAAAACTGAAACACAAAGTTGACAATCTACTAGATTCCAGCCGCACAAAGGGGAACCCTAATTCCTGTTTTTCATTCATTCATTTGTTTATTCTTCACTCATTCATTCGTTCATCAAACACCTAGTGCTCACTTACTACTCACCATATCATTTCAAAAAATCTTAAGTGTCACAGAAAACCCCCATCAAATTCAGAATTCTATTTGCATTTGATAAAAAGTCAAATTAATGCTAAAAAAGAGAAACAACGCCTTGGAGCGTCAGAGTTCTGCCACCCCAGGCAACTCTGTTTTGCTGCAAACCAATCTTTACAATATCTCCATGAGGAATAGAGCAGACATACTTATTTTTAGTTTACATTTGAGAGATTAGAAACGGAGGAATAGTTATGATTCATCAATTTCACTTATTTTTTTTTAAGCTCAGTGCATTAGTTATAGTACTATAGAATATATATAAAGGTTGAAAACAGATCTCCAGGGTCGGCCATTTGAAATATTATCATTCATATGGAAACATGAAGGCAGTATGATCTCAACTATCTAGATGTAAAGGTAGAATTTGTTCGTTTCTTGAGATGTTTTTAAGTACCCTGATGTTTGATGTAATAGTAGCAAACATTTAGATGATTGAATTTTTTAATTTTTCATCCAAATGTTTAGGTTCCTTTTGAATAGTAGTCACCCAACTACAGCCCTGACAGAGAAAGCTCCTTCAGATTTGGGAAGTATGCATCAACCCCTCAGGAGTCAAGTGTCTTGAGAACCCCCCTACCCCCCGAAACCTCCTGCTGTTCATACAGCTACTGATCTAATTGTTGTTGCCAATTGTCATGGAATTTATAGACTGTCAGCATAAAGAGCAAAGAATGATATCATCCTGTCAGTTACATCTATTCAGTAAAGAATAAAAAAGCATTCCAGAAAAATTGATTGACAGTACTAAAATATGTGGTTTTCTGTTGGTCTCATTTTTAACAGTACATTTTCTGAAGACATCTGTTATGAAAAATATCAACAGCATTAATGTTGTTTCTTAAAAAAAGTCATCACTTTTTGATGCATTTAATATTTTGTATTAATTCAGTTATTCAGTGTCATAATAAAGCATTATTAAATTATATGATTAATACAATTTAGACAAAATTAATCAGAAACAAGAAGTGTGCCTACCTTGCTATTCTTGGCTCTATATTACAGCGGTTCTCAACCTGTGGGTCGCGACCCCTTTGGGGGTCGACGACCCTTTCACAGGGTCGCCGGGTACTCGTATGTGGGCGTATCTGCATGTGGACCTGGAGACGGATAGAGGAGCGGTGTCTCGGTTCCTAAGACCATCGAAAATATGTGTTTTCCGATTGTCTTAGGCAACCCCTGTGAAAGGTTGAGAACCGCCGCTCTATAAGAATGTATCTACATAGATACTTTTGTACTTTAAACTTTGTACCTATTTTATTCTTTAAAAATTAGGGACTGAATTATTTTGAGAAATAATGTATGGCCTTTAAACATTCAAATCAAGTAGTTCACACGAGTGGAAAAATAATGATGAAGTTGGCCAGAATTTCTGGATGTTGCTAAATTGTTTAATCAAATTAAGCTTTCCTGATACTACAGTAGATTTCTGTTTCTACAAGGCTAGTGATTTCATGGAATTGGCCATGATGGTAAAATCAGGGGCCCAGAAATGTAGTTTTATAGTTAAAAGCTTGATGTAAGGCTGGTGAGCCTGACCGATGACATTCCAATACAGGTAACACAGAGGCTGTATTGCAGGAGGAACCACCATTTCTAACAGGACAGCATCACATTTTGATTATTTGCATACCATAGTTTCCCCAAACCAGGACAAGCAAGGTTTTGAGACAAAGTTTTGAGGATCAGTCCATTTCTATTGACCATTTCGGGTATGCCCTGCAGACGCAGAAGCCCAGAGGCTCCAGAGGAAGCTTGGTTTATGTTTTTAATCTTGAGCAGCCATCCCTGCAAAGGCGGCGCTTCTCTTTATCCATATTGCCACATGTCCGCTTGAGCACGAGCTGACCCACTATACAGGGTTCCACACCCTCATCATTTATTTCGGGATAAGGCAGTTTATTTTACCCCATTCACCGAGGGAGTTCCACAGAGACGAGACGGGTGGAGACTCCATTTTGAATGTCTCCTTCAGCTCACTGCACTCCACTGCATTCAATTCCAGTCAGCCCCAATCCCTACTTAAGTGGCTGTGGGGGCTGTTTTCTATTTTACAGAGCTAATCCAGGCCAGCTTAGGGATGGTACTTCCCCTTAACCACAGAGCCAGATGCCTAGGACAAACAGCCTTTGGTCATTGCTGGCTGGGTAGCTCGTCCCCTGTGTTCATATTTGATCTGGTTTGTCCTTCTGTGTGTGGCACTCTGCCCACTCCCCAGCCACCATGCCTGGGTGGGAGGGATAGGGGTTCTGCATTCAAAAGCATCTCCTATTTCAAGTACCATCTCTTCTGGGGAGAGGCTGGTCCCCAGGGAGGGAACGGCCATATTGTTGCCATATGCTGTTTAATGGTGGCTGACATTTTATTTGCCTAAAAGCAAATGCTTAACTGTCAGAGGCAGACAGATCAGATGCTTCTGGCTACTAGTGAGCTAGTATATATTTCTGCAAGTACCTAAGAAAACCACAAAGATATTTCTTTTGTTAATGGAAACACATGTAATTGGAGAACACTGCTGTCAAA